GGCATGGCATGGCGTGATATTGCATGCGATGGCGTGGCATGGCATGGCATGGCATAGCGTGATATTGCATGCGGTGGTGTGGCATGGCATGGCATGGCATGGCATGACGTGATATTGCTAGCGATGGCGTGGCATGGCATGGCATAGCATGTCGTGACATTGCATGCGATGGCGTGGCATGGCATGGGATGGCGTGATATTGCATGCAATGGTGTGGCATGGCATGGCATGGCGTGATATTGCTAGCAATCGTGTGGCATGGCATGGCATGTCGTGATATTGCATGCGATGGCGTGGCATGGCATGGCACGGCATGGCATGGCGTGATATTGCATGTGATGGCATGGCACGTCGTGGCATGGCAACATGTGCAGGTGAGGGATGGCGTGGTAGCAGAGCAGATGACACAGCGCATGAAGCAGGAGTGCACAGCGCATGAAGCAGGAATGCACAGCGCATGAAGCAGGAGTGCACAGCGCATGAAGCAGGAGTGCACAGCGCATGAAGCAGGAGTGCACAGGGCATGTAACAGGAGTGCACAGGGCATGTGACAGGAGTGCACAGGGCATGTAACAGGAGTGCACAGGGCATGTAACAGGAGTGCACAGGGCATGTAGCAGGAGTGCAAAGGGCATCATCACACATGCTTATGAGGCCGGAAAGAGAGTGTTCAACAGACTGCAGAGTCTTATCAGTGTGAGTGTGTCTTGCTTTGTCATACTACTTATACTGTATACAAACGAAAAATGTCACAAATATTGAAGCGGAACTGATGGTTGCTTTAGGACACATGCGGGTATACATAGTTGAGCTAGGATGGGCGGTATGGTTGGGAACCTTGCCAACATTATTGCCCCCCACCAATAAGTTGGGTTGAGGAGTTATTGGGGGGACCAATAATGTTGACCAAAGTGGGTCAACATTATTGAAGGGGGGCAATCATCTCCCAACCCAACCTTGGGGGCCCAATAATTGGGCCAAGGTTGGGTTCCAACCTCAAACTAGGGTTAACCCTAGTTGTGCACCCCAACTAATTTGGGTGCCTATCTCTGACCAAAACTTATAGGATAGATGCAGGTTACAATGCAGATGATAATCTGACAAAAAGAACAGAAAAGAGAGAGAAAAGAGAGACAATATTGGCTTGCAGGAAAATACCAGCTTGATCCTTGCTATTCTCAAGAGCTGGTTTTTGTCATGCTGCCGGTCCCTTGCCCTCACGTGAAAGAAGGGTTGTTTTGAGGCGTCTCAAAACCACCCATCTTTCACACAACTGATTTTTGTCATGCTGCCAGTCCCTTGCCCTCATTAGACACCCATTCCCATCCCATCACCACCCAACCCTTACCCCTTTCTCTTTCGCCACACCACTCACCACAGTCTCCCCCATGACATTCGCACTCCGAGAGACCAGCTCCACCCGTTGCATGCCCGCCGCTGACTTGGAGAACGAGACGCGCAGCGCAACGCCGCCCGCTCCCCACCGCCCCTGTCGGCGCCAGCAGCACCAGTGCCACGAGCCCCCCCCACACCTTGCCACCCTCCCAGCACAACAGTAGCATCCCCTTCCTGCCCGCTCCCTCCTCCTCCTCCTCCTCCTCCTCCTCCTACCTCCTCCTCCTCCTCCCTCCTCCTCCTCCTCCTCCTCCTCTTCCTCTTCCTCCTCCTCTCCTCCTCCTCCTCCTCCTCCTCCTCCTCCTCCTCCTCCTCCTCCTCCTCCTCCTCTCCTCTCCTCTTCCTCCTCTCTCCTCCTCCTCCTCCTCCTCCTCCTCCTCCTCCTCCTCCTCCTCCTCCTCTCCTCCTCCTCCTCCTCCTCCTCCTCCTCCTCCTCCTCCTCCTCCTCCTCCTCCTCCTCCCCCTCCTCCCCCTCCTCCCCCTCCAACTCCTCCTCCCTGACCCATCTTGCCCCCCTCTGTCCCCCACCACCTTGCAACCCTCTTCTTCCACTGCTCCCCCTGCTCGCTGCCTCCCTCCCTCTCCTCTCCCCACCGTTCATCTCGCCCTCCTTCTTCTCTCCACCACGCGCCACCATCCGCCGCCCTCTCGTCTTCCTCCCCCTTGCTGCCTTTCTGGGTTGCGTTTCAGCTGGCCCCGCTGCTGCTTCTGCCCCGGCTGCTGCTGCTGCTACAGAGGGCGTTGCTGCATCTGCCTCTGCTGTGCTGCTGCAATGTCATCGACGCTGCTCCATACAGCACTCTCATACGCCTTGCCGGAGGTGTCTGGATGTGGGTATGGGTGGGTGGATATGGGGGATTCCCGTGCGTGGATAGGAGAGTCAACTGTTGAGTGGTGCACAGGGGTGACGAGACACGAAGCACACTCGTAGTGTGCATAACTTGCTTGCTCTCTCTCTCGAATGGTCCTTCATTGGATGTAGCATGCAATACATCGGTGTAGTTTATATATTCAGGCACAGACATGCAAGAGAGCTACCTAAGGCAGCTCAAAGTCCAGCTCGAGAATGTGCAGAAGGTCGCCCGTGTCAAGGGGCTCATCCTGGTAGGCACAAGTCGGTGCCTCGGCCTCGAAGGCCGCCAGGGTCTTGGCGCATAGGGCGTTCGCCTGGCCCCTCTGCAAGGCAATGGACCACCTTTGGCGGTACGAATGGAACAGTTTGTTGACTCTCGTGAAGAAGGCTCGGCATTATGGAAGCGCTTCGCCGCCAGGTTAGCACATAGGCGCATGAACTCAAATACTCCGGGGGAGCAGCACCCGTAAGTCTCTACTGCCATTGCTATGAACCCCACCCACTGCTGCCGGTTGCGGTACTTATGCTCTTTCGCCCTTGCCGCCGCCCTGGCTGCCCACCCCACTCCCCGCCTGGCCGTCTCGTCCTGGAGGAAATGGGGTCGTGACTGCTACGTCAATGAGCCACACGGCTCCTGAGTCGGGGTGGCGTATGGCGAGGTCCGCCTTGAGCCCTCCACCGGTGTGTAAATTGTTGTCTCCTTCTGGACCGCGAAGCCCGCCTCCGTCGCGATCCGCTCGCACTCATCTCTTAGCGCATGGTGGGTGCCCGTTCTGCCCTTCCCCGTTCCGCACCGAAGTAGGTGATTAGGTAGGCGTGGGTCGAGTATCTCCACTTGGTCGTTGCAGTCACAGAAGGCCGGGACGAGCTGGGGTATGCCAAGGCGGAAAGCAGCCATAGAGGTGAAGTAGTGGGCTGGCAGGCGGTGCGGTCGGTTGATAGGCAGGGACATGAGCCAGTCCTTTGCCCCTGGTCCTGTGAGGGACTGTAGCCGCTGGATATGGCCGAGCAGGGGGTTTGGTGCCATCACCCTGCTCTCCTGCACCGCAGCAGTTGCCCTTGTTGCATGGACGTGGAGGGAGATTGCATGCTGAAGTTTCAAGAAATCCCCCCCCCTCCCGCACTTTCTGTAGAATGCCAATTGCCTCTCGTGGCAGGGTCTCCTCCGCGGCCGCCAAACGGAGAGGGAGCTGGGAGCGGCTTGAGGCGTCAGCGGAGAAGAGGGGGAGGAGTGCCAGCACTTGGGAGTGGGAGGGAGAGGAAGACGCGGAGAGGAGGTGAAAGGCGGCCGCGGTTGAGGCTAGGTAGCTCGCGAACCGCTCCAAGGCGGGGTCGGCAATGCCTAGGCCTCCAAGTGTAGGTGGGAGGGAGGCCTGGCGCCAGACCCGCAGCTGCTCAGGGCGGTGGCGTGGCAGAGGGATGGCGGCGGATGCTAGGAGGGTGTGGAAGTTTCCTTCCCCCCAGGAGTCCCAGTCAGCGAGGGGAAGGGAGTCCGGGGGGGTAGTGCGGAGGATGTAGGAGATACGGCGGCTGATGCAGCGCGTAAGAAGTAGGAGGCATACTTGCGGCTCCAGCTCGGAGAGGAGTGCCGATGGCTCCACAGCCTCGGCCATTCGGGTGCGAAGAAACGTGGCGCAGTCCTCGGGCGGACCCACGGGGCTGCCCAGAACCTTGAGGCCAGAGGGCGACCATGGCACTCCTGACGGCAGGTGCTGGAGTTGAGATGACGTGGGTGACCAGGCCGCACATTTGGCGGCGTTGTGGTGGAGGCCGAGTGGGGCTAGCGCCGCGGTGAGGCCGTTGAAGGCGGCGGTGCAGTCGGGTTCAGGGCCGAGTAGTGTGATGTCGTCTCCATAGGCGAGAACGACGACTGTGGGATTGGCGGCGGCTACTGCCCTTAGTGCGGGGTGGATTGTGGCGGCGAAGAGAAGGGGGCCCATGGGGTCCCTTTGGCGTACTCCCCTCGAGGAGCAGAGGTTGTTGGCATGGAAGGCGGCATCGATGATAAGTTCGGACGGCGCGCCATATGAGCTTCGGGTGAAGGGGACTAGGAACTCCAAGGGTGAGTCACGGAGGCTTGGATTGAGTCAGGTTCCTTGGCCAATCGCAGCAGGGGGGTCAGGAGGCAGGTGGCGGGCGAGTGGTGTTTGGCAAGAGTCACGGAGCACCTGGATGTCCCAACTGCCAATTTCCGCAAATTTCGCATTGTCACCAGCTAGCTGCTTCGGTGAGAAATGTGGTTGGGGCGTTCTTTCTGGCGGGAGTCGATTGACTTGGTTGGCTCGGGGTGCAGGTCTGGCAGCCGCGCGGGTTGGAATTCGGGGGGGAAATTCAGATGCGCTTCGGCGAATTTGTCGACCCCCACCTTAGTGAACATCCTCCTCCACCCCTTGTTCGCCTTGTTCCTCGGTTTCTGAGCTTGGGATACCCTCCCTCGAGAGGGTATAAGATTGGTCACCCAAGGGCTCATTCCTCAGTTCCTCGCTCACCCTCTCCTCTCCATCAGCCCTCTCCTCCGGCCTTTGCCCGTTACACGCTGCGGCTCCCCTTAGTAGGTTTTCCTCGGCGATTAAGCGCCTCGCAATTTGGCCATAGCCCCCTCCTCTTGTCTGGGGGCTCTCGCGGCCTCCCCTTCCGCGCCCGCCTCCACGTCGTCCCCTGGAGCTGCTTGCCTGGCCCCTCGTGTGCATCAAGTTTGAGCGTTGCAGTTGCGGAGACCACCACTGAAGTTGATCAACAGCCCGCCTGGGCGATGCCGGGCTCGCATTCGCGAGGGCGGGAACAGTCCCCAATCCCGGGCACACGGGGAGCGTCGCAGTCCGTCGTCGTGGCGTCCTGCCCAGTCGCCGGCGCTGTGGCCAGAGGTGGCTCGTGCGTCCGAGCGGTCTGCCGTGACCGCGCCTGTTCCGTCCCGGCCGTCATCGTCGCTGCAGGCATCCCCCCGTCGATCGTCTCCGCGCCAGCAGTCTCCATGGCGTCCCTCCTCTCCCCAGCGGTCTCAGCCAGCGAACAATCATGGGCGACGAAATCAGCCCCGGCGCTATTGGCGCGCGCATCATCTCCAGCAGCAGCCGGCTGATCCTGCTCCAGTGGCGGCCGCCGCTGCCACGGCAGCGGGGACGGATGCCGCCACGGCGCGGCTGTTGTGCGGGCGCTAGCGGCGCTTCCCGATGGTGCGATGGCGCCAGGCCGCGTTCCCGCGCCTGCGCATGTGCGTCAGATACCCCCTCTGCTTGATTTGTTGCCGAATCCCCCAACTGCAGATCCCGTGTCATTTGCCGCACCGCCTCCCGCTCCGCAGCTGCCACAACCTCCTGCGCCTCCTCCTAGCGTTCCATTCCCTCTGCACGTGGGTCCACTGGGGGTGTGGGATGTTGCTCCCGGCGGTCAGGCCAGTTCCATCCCTTCCACAACGGGGGTCTTGCGCCACCCCTTCTTCCTGGTCAGCTGACGCTTCATCCGGCGCACCTCCCGCAGCGGCCCGCGCCGCCTCCTGCGCCTCCGGTTCTTGTGCCTCAGCTTCCCGGGTTTGAGTATGCCTCCGGGGCGTGCTCCGTTTCACCCACCTCTTGTCCCCGGCCCCATGCCTGCAGCTCCACTTGCGGTGGTGGGAGGCAACAGAGGGGGTGGATCTTGATGCTGGTGAGTCGGCCGCCGCGCCGATGCCTCGGGACATCCGCCCTCCGCGTCGTCGGTCCGTGGGGGTCCGCTTGAGCTCTCGCCGTGATCGTGGAGCGGATCCGGGCGCGGACCCGTGCCCCTCCTCGCTCGCTGCAGCTGTCGAGTAAGGTGCTTGTGCGCTTGTGGCACGGGCGGGCGTTTGTTGAAGTGCGCTTGTGGCACGGGCGGGCATTTGTTGAAGTGGTGACGAACGTGCTGGAGGCCGCGCTGGGGGCGATGGAAGACTGCCCAGCTGCGCACTGTAGGATGGATGCTGATCGGACTGAGCGGTGCCAGCTTGCAGTGCGTGACCTGGTGCACGAGCTGGAGCGGACATTGGTTGGGCCCGATGGGGAGTTGGGCTCGGGCGTTGGGGAGGCATGCGTCCTCGAGGAGGTGGGGGATGAAGGGTGCAGTCGGCATCAGCTGTAGCTGTTGTAGACGGCTGCGTGTCCGCACATCCGCCTGGGCGATAAGGTTGTCGCCAGCGTGCTTCAGCTGGCGGGTGTGACAGAGTTTGTGTAGGCCGCTCGCGGCGGCGGTAGCATAGCGTTTGCGGCCCGCTTGGGCCCTTGATGGTGGGCAGGCCGGTCATGTTTTCCTACGGTGATCTAGCCTGATACTTGTATTCTATTGTTGTCATCTCGAACGGTCCTTCGTATTAGTATCATCAAGGTACAGACCTGGGTACTAAGCTAGTCTAGGCAATCAAACGACAAACAGGCAAGCCAACAACCAAGAAAACACACAAAGGTACCACTACTCATCCCTACTCCTACCCCTTCTCCCACGGCCCTGCTGGCCTGTGGGGTCTTCCAGCAGCTGGTACAACTGCTCCTCACCCAAGCTGCCAAACGGGCCTTGCAGGCCAAGCTCATCCGCGGCAATGGCCTCGTGGGTCTTGTCGCGAAGGGCATTGGCCTGGGCGCGCTGGAGTGTCACACCTCCAGCGCTGACGGTACTCCGTAAGGAGCCTGGCCACCCTCCCTTGACTTTGGCGCAGCGTTGAACCGCCGCTTGCTCGCGAGCTCGGCGCAGCTGCGGAGGAAGGCGTGCACTCCCGGGGACGGGTAGCCGTACGTCTCAACGCCATGGCATGGAAGCCCACCCACGCGTTCCGCCGCGCGTACTTGTCTTCTTCTGGCGGCTTGCATCCTTGCAGCCCACCCAGGCGCCCTTCCGCGCAAACTCGTCCTGGTGAGAGACCGGGTCCGTCACGGTGATGTCGCACATGTGGACTTCGCCGGTGTCGGGATGGCGGATGCAAACGTCTGCTTTGAGGTTTTCGACCGGTGAGTACACTGTGGATTCCTTGTGCACCGTGTAGCCTGCCTCTGCTGCGATCTTCGCACACTCATCCCGAAGAGCATGGTGAGTGGCAATCCTCCCCCGCCTTTCTCACAACGCATGAGGTGGTTGGGTAGGCGGTGGTCAGGGAAGGTCGTGCGGTGGCGGCAGTCGCAGTGCCGAGGGACGGGAAGGGGGAGGCCTAGGCGGAAGGAGGATGCAGTGGAGTGCTGCGAGGGGCCGAGGCGAAGAGCCGGGACCAGGGGGATGGCTAGCAGCCAATCTCCCACCCCGGGGCCGAGGAGTGACTGCAGGCGTTGGGTGTGGCCGTAGAGCGGGTTCAGGGGCATCTCCCGCGAGGCATCGAGCACCTCAATATAGCGGGCTGTGTGGACGGCCAGCGACAGGGCCTGCTGTAGCTTCGGGCCATCCGTCCCGTGTCGGCCGGCCTGTAGAGCTTCTAGTCCATCTGGGGGCAGCGTGGCTTCTGCCGCTACGAGGCGCCTTGGCAGGACCGAGGGTGAGTTCGCGTCTGCATCTAGTAGCGGCAGCATCTGGGCGATTGAGGGGTGCAACGTGTCGCCAAACGAGCGCAGCAGGTGGGCCGTGGAAATGACCGAGGCTAGGTAAGCGAACACCCCTTCCGTGGCTGGGTTGGTGATGCCGAGGCCGCCCAGCGTCACGGGCAGGGCGGCCTGCCGCCAGATTCTCCCCCGCTCTTCTTCCTCCCTGGGTATCGTCGTGTGTGCCGCCGTCAGGTAAGTGTGTAGCAGCTGCTCCCCCCACTCTGACCAGGTGTCCGCTGGCAGCACCTCCAAGGGCATCATTCTAATGAGGTAGGAGGCGCGGCGGCTCACGCACCGTGTTAGGAGTAGCAGGCACAGCTGCGGGTCCATTTGTGACAGTAGCGGAAGTGGCTCTGCTGCTGCTGACAGGCGCTCCTGTACCAACGCCGCGCATCCCGCTGCGGGCCTATTGGGCTCCCCAGGACGCGGATCCCGTCCGCCAAGAAAGGTACATGCGGCGGAAGAGAGGCGGGGTCAATGTGCGCAGCCGACCATGCTGCGCACTTCTCGGGGTTGTGTTCCAGGCCTAGGGGAAGCAGCGCCCTGGTGAGGTGATTGAATGCCTCTGTGCACGCCTCAGCTTCCCCCAGGAGCGTAATGTCGTCCGCGTAGGCGAGGATGACGACTTCTGGGTGCGCCTCCGCCGCGGCTACCAGGCACGGGTGAATGCTGGCGGCGAAGAGGAGCGGGCCCAGATCCCCTTGGCGTACGCCGCGTGCGGATTGTAGGGGGGGGGCATGAAACGCGTGGTCGAGGTGCAGTTCCGAGGGGACACCATAGGAGAGCCGGACCAGGGGCACCATGAATTCCAGGGTGGTCCCCTTGAGGCCTTCGAACACTGCTGCCCGCTCGACCGCATTAAATGCGTTTGCCAGGTCGATTTGTAGCGCCACAGCCCCGTCATTATCCTCCAGGTATGTCCTTGCCGTGTGCACCGCCGCCTCGATGCCTCCTGCTACCGCCACCCCGAATTGTAGCGGTGCGAAGTGATCGTGTGCTCTCTCAGCCGCCAAGAATAGAGCCGCTTTTGCTACTAATCTGAGCAGGCATTCGCCTACTGCTATAGGCCGTGTGCCCCCATGGGGCTTCGTGAAAGCAAGTAAGCGTGACGCAGTGAGGAGTTCTGTTGCTTCCGCGCTGAGTTTTTCGGCTAACGTCGTGTTTGTGAGTGCGTGCAATTGCAGGAAGATGTCCGTATTCCCAACTGCTGCGTCCCTCAGGTGTTCGAAGGTGGTCCCCGAGGGACCAGCGCTCACTCCGTTCGGGCATTTGGCGAGAATGCGTCTGAAGTCGCGTGGAGGGGATTGAAGGGGTGCACTCTGTGGTGAAATCCGACACCCACTCCGGGATGGATTGGCGCGCAGGGGGGTGTCGAGCTGAGAGAGCCCGAAGCACGTCAGTTGAGGGGGGGGAGACTGGCGTGGCCGTGAGGGATTGGAGGGATTTTGCTAGGTTCCCTCGTTTGGCGAGTCCCTCTGCCCTTGCCAGGATGCCTGTGGTGTCTGGCGCATGGCGTGGCTGGGGTGGTTGGGATACTGCGTCAGCCGCCTCGTCGTACAGGCTCCGTCACTGGCCTTGGCGGAACCTATCAGCCTGGCTCCTACCTTCGACCAATCTGGGCGCTTGGCTGATGAGGTGCGCAAGAGGATGCGCGGGAGGAATATGAGCAGTCTCCAGCCTGCGGGCGAGTTAGGATCTTTTGCGAGGTGTAGCAGCGGGGTGAGAAGGCAGGCTGCGAAAGATTCGCGAAGAGTGCGAGGTGAGTGATGCGCGAGAGGTGGTTGCCTGCTGTTGCGAAGGGGGTGTGGTCCCAAGTTGCGACATCAGCGAAAAGGTCCTGGCGTTTTTCCAGGTCGCCTGCACTGAACAGGGGCAGGCCTGTGGGTGCATCTGCACTCTGCTGATTGGCCCGAGTTGGGGTGCCATCTGCAATTTGTGTGGCTTGGTTTCCCCCCCCCGACTCGGCCTGTCTTCCAATTCGGATCGCAGATGCGGCTCGGCTCGGTG